ACATAAACGATCTATGAGTAATTTATCATTCATCACTAACGTTACATAATACAAAACAGTAGTCGTGCAATAACGAACAGCACAGTTTTGGAGAAACTGGAATTTTTATTGCACAAATTGCAACTTTTGAAAATGTTTTGCTCGCGCTTGCAAGAAAGTTTCTAGTCTTATTTACATATCTTTGTTAGCATACATTCAATCATTTGAATCAGGCTGCCTATTCTGAAACTGGATCTTCCTACACCAGACACACCTACTATATTCAAGTATCAAGTATATATATATATATATATATATATATATATATATATATATATATATATATATATATATATATATATATATAGGCCTTGAGAAATGTCCCCTTAATAATAATTTTTGAGTACCTGCACGGGTCTCCCAAAAAGGCCTGTGATTTGTGATACATATCAACAAATGAATCAACTGGTAACATGCAATCAGAAATCGTTTCCGTATCATATTTAGATATATCAATAACAGTAACATATATCGAATTAACTCAGATACAGTTATAACTTAATAATCATATAACCTTCCTACCCCATATTCAAAAGTCGTGACATAATTAATTTCTAAACTGATGCCATCATCTGATTACACGGTATAGGAAAGTGAGTATTATATAGTCGTCTCCGGCGAAGCGATATTCATTTTTTTTTTTTTTTTTTTGTTATCGAGGAGAAGGAGCTACTATTACAGCCTGAGATAGATAGACAGATAAGCAGATAGATAGATAGATAGATACACACAGACAGTGTGTGTGTGTGTGTGTGTGTCTATGTGTGTGTGTTATGTGTGTGTGTATATATATATATATATATATATATATATATATATATATATATATATATATATATATATATATATATATATGTGTGTGTGTGTGTGTGTGTGTGTGTGGTGTGTGTGTGTGTGTGTGTGTGTGTGTGTGTGTATGTATACATGTATATATATATATATATATTAATATATATATATATATATATATATATATATATATATATATATATAATATATTATATATATATATATATATATATATATATGTGTGTGTGTGTGTGTGTGTGTGTGTGTGTGTGTGTGTGTGTGTGTGGTGTGTGTGTGTATATATATATATATATATATATATATATATATATATATATATATATATATATATGTATATACATATACATATATATATATATAATATATATATATATATATATATATATATATATATATATATATATATATATATATGTGTGTGTGTGTGTGTGTGTGTGTGTGTGTGTGTGTGTGTGTGTGTGTGTGTGTGTGTGTGTGTGTGTGTGTGTGTGTGTGAGTGTGTGTGTGTGTGTGTGTGTGTGTACATGAATGTACATATATAATGAATATATAAGTATACATATGTATATAAGTATATATATATATATATATATATATATATATTATATATATATATATATATATATGTATATAACTATATCTATATCTATATTTGTGTATATAGATATATGCATATGAATATCTATCTATCTATTTATCTATATTTATAAATTTATATATTCATATATGTATGTATGTATGTATGTATATATGTAGACATATATATGCATTTCTGTACGCATGATTAGTATCGTTCCCTTTGTATATATGCAGCTGATTTGTTCGCATTTCATTTCACCTTTTCATTTTCCAAAGCGAAATATGTGCATTTTCTCCATAACGATTAGTTAGAATTGGTAACACAATAAAGTGACAAATTAGCATGCGTTTTCTGAGTGTCAATTATCGACTTTGCTTTCATGTTCTTTCTTTATCGTGGTTGTGTCTGGCTTGGAAAGTCTGCTCAAATAATTTTAGGATTTTTGTCTCTCAGTAAGTTAGTAGAAATGAGAAAGATTGCGGTACTTACGCGAGAATTACCGGTGCTACTACGAATACCAATAGTACTTGTACTACTACTAGGACTACTGCTACGACTACCATTAGCAAGTATACTACCAGGACTACTACTACGATTACCAATAGCATTTATACTACCAGGACTACTACTACGACTACCATAGAACTTATACTACCAGGACTACTACTACGACTACCGTAGCACTTATACTACTACGACTACTACGCAACTTATACTACTACGACTACTGCTACGACTACCATAGCACTTATACTACGACAC